TATCTTTTTGAGGTTTGAAGTCTACGACTTTGCTTTTGGTTCAATCAAAAAGATCTCATAGTAATATAGATATTTTGTTTACTTTGTTTTTCTTTTAGGAGCTCACTGTATAGAGTTGAAAATTCAAACATATTAATGTTTCATCTCAAAACCAATTGGCAACAAGATGAGTAATTCACTTATATTAAAAATCTTTGTTCGGTCCCTTATTTTTTCAATGTGGAATCCGTAATATGTCCCCTCAAGATGGTTACCTCTTTTGAGTTCACCAATCTCTTTGGTCAGATCCCATTTTTTGATCGGACACTCATTTGACTTTTGGGCTCTAATATTGTATCAATAGTCATGAGATTTCATCTCAAAATCAATTGGCAACGGAAAAAAGTAGCCAATTTATATTATAAACTCTTGTTAGGTCTCTTATATTTTAATTAAGACGGGCATATTCTTAGAATTTGTTTCAAGCAACTCAATATTATTATCTACGTATACATATATAGGTGGTGGAAAGAGTTGAAGCTGGTGGAGAAGCTGGGTTTTGCGAGAGATAGATGCGTGGAATGTTATATTTGGGCATTGGGACTATTCTTTGAGCCAAAATAATCTCTTGCTCGAACAAACATGACAAAACTTGTGGCGATGACTTCAATTTTGGATGATATATACTATGTTTATGGTACATTCGAAGAACCCCAAGTTTTCACTGGAACAATTCAAAGGTATATACGTTACTCGGATAAAAATACCAACTTTATGATTTTCAATTATGTTCCTGAATTTTGGATTATGCTTATACTTAGTCTAACTCTCCTTAACGTCACCAAAATGCTAAGGTGACATGTTTATTAATTTAGATTTTGAATTGTGTACATATGATCATATCTCGTGGCGGGTCTACATTGGGATCAGTGGCACGTGCCCTTGAATTTGATTAAATAATATATATTATGTTACAAATAGATAATATGGTCTCTAGTATGGTTGGTGTGTAGTTGCCCCTACATTGCCTTTCCATGCCTCTCAACTTGTGTTCAAATCTTTTCAATTCTGCGCAAGTCATTTTTAACAAATATTCTAGTATTATATTAAACAAACTAATATCAGTGATATTATAGTTTAATTTTCAATATTATTTAATTGGATGTTTGTAACAATACATTTGATTATTTAGGAAAAAAATCAATTTTTTTTCCTAAACTAGATAAGTTGTATCAAGATTCACCGTAATCATTCAATTTCAATAAATTCGTCGGCCACTAGATCGATGAAAAATCTCTCCAAAATTTGATCGTTTGATGAGTGATTCACCAACCACTAGATCCCAAACCTAAAAAATTAGGTAAGTATTGCAATTTTTATCATTTATTCAACCTTTCCTCCGCTAGTTGAACTATTAATTTAAACCAGAACCATTGGAAAAAAAAACTAAAAAGAACCACTAATTTAACAAAAATCAAGCTTTTTACAAATTATGCACAAAAAGCAATCATTAAATAACTACAAATTTCAAAAAAGAAATCTAACTTTAGTATGGTTTTTATTTGAATTCTATCAATTTCCTATCAAATATATGTTTGGTAATTCATTTAATACATATAAGAATACTATTTCAACAAATTTTCTAATGAAAATTTACGAGAGGGTAAAAATTGCAACGTTTTTTAAAGTTTAAGGTTAATATTGCAACATTTATCCAAATTTACGGTGTGATTTGATTAATTGATGCACATTGCTAAGTTCGGGGTTAAAATTGATCTTCCCCGTTATGTTTTTTTTGTAGTTGTGTGCCTCCTCTAACATCAAATCCTCCTAATCACATATATAAGCATTTTGTTAATCCAAAGTACATAAATGTATTAAACTTTTTGTTATCTTTCCACTTTTTAGGTGGGATGTTAATTGTAGTGGCGGATCCAGAATTTTGTCGAGGGGGCGTGAAGAAAAAATGTACTAATTTAGATAATAAAAGATACTACTTTCTAACTTACCTTATATTATTCTTTATTATCTCATAATAAAAGATATTCCTCTCTCCCCCTCTTTACTTTCTAACTTCATTGCTATGATTTAACTAACTCTGCTAGATACTACTTTCTTGAAGCTAATTGGTATCATGATGGCTATACACCAACAATGGATGAATACTTGAAAGTTGCAAGAGTTTCTTCTTGGGTCTATTTGCTCTCTCGCTTCATTTCTCAGCGTGGGAGATGATGTTTCGATGGAGGTATTTGAATGGATCGATAGTGATTCGAAATTGCTTATCGCATCTGAAGTCATTAGTAGGATCATGAACGATATTACTTCCCACAAGGTAATTAAACTATTAAGATTATAATCTTTGATCTTAACATGTGAATTTTTTTAAACTTTAGTAGTAATTTACTATGATAAAAACATATTGGGGTAGGAATTCGAACCTTTGACCTACTGGTTGCAGATATACGTCTTAACCAGTTAGATTATCATCAAGTTGATAATTTATTGGGGTATTATGGTAAGACATGAACCCATCAACAAAACATGTCCAAATACAATTCATAACAAACAGCCATCATCATCACCATCAAAATGACATAAATTGATGCGAATAAAAATAGTTTCACCCATTAACAAGAATTTACCTAGTTTTACAATCGAGCATTAACAACTAATTAAGGCATTTATATTTTTCTTTGAGGTCAAAGATCCAAATCTCCAAAACACATTTGTTGTATTTAAAGTAAAAAAAAAATTAAAAAGAAAAGTAGATGACTTATTTAAGTTTTTGTATAATTTAATGAGACTAAAAAAATGATGACTTATTTTAAATTTTTGGATCGATATATAGTTTGAACAAGAGAGGGGTCATGTTGCTTCAGCCAACGAATGCTACATGACACAATATGGCGTATCAGAAGAAGAGGCTATAGAAGAATTAGAGAAGCAAGTTACAAAATGGCTGGAAGGAAATCAATGAAGAGTATGTGAAACTTATTGATGTTGTAGACACTATTCTTATGCGAGTTGTAAATCTTGCTCAAATCTCAGATCTCTTTTACAAAGATGAAGATGGATACACGCTACCAAAATTTTCATCAGTTCTTTGCTGGTTGATCCAATGCAAATTTGAACTCATTGAGCAACACATTTCTATAATATGTAATAAATACTAAGACTTGAATAATGCATGATGTGAAATGCTATACTATTTTGATTTTTAGTAAGTTAAATTTTGATTGTGGACTTATTTTGGGAGTTTTATCATTTATGTACAAGATTATCTCATCTTTGTTTTTTTAGTAACACGTGGGGTGAGGAGATTTGAACTCACGACGACCTTCTGATCGGACATAATATGTGCTTTAATTTGCTGAACTATATACTGGTTGACAAGAGTATCTCATCTAAAGTGTCAAATTGGGGAAGAAAAATACGGAGAGACAACAACTTATAGAACAATTTCATTGGAAGACTTAAGTTGGTGCATATACTACATAAAAAAATACATACATACATATATTAGGTCTTTAGCGTCAGTTTTACTTGGTGAAATTAAAAAATGAGAAAGAAAATTTTAATTATGTGTTTACTAAAGTGCAAGAATAGAAGTCAAAGCAAGCATAACTCAATAATAATTGACATATATCTCTAATCAAGATGTCGTGAGTTCGATCACTCACTTCACATGTTATACTAAAAATAAAATAAAATATAAGAATGGAATAACATGAAAGTACTATAATCCAATTCTAAGATCTTTTACCATACAAAACCGAAAAAATACTCAAATCAAGCCAATAAAATAGCATTCAACCTCATCACTAAAATGTCCAACCCAAGTATTTAGCACAACTTTGAAAAATTAAAACCTACAAAATTAGTCTTGCTACCTATAATAATGATCCTAGCTTGTCATTAAATCTTGAGAAAAAAATAAGTTATATCATTTTGTTTAGATGGTCCTCACTCGCTATTAGTTTGAGGTTAATCTTCATTCAACTCGCAGTAGTGACGACGACGACAATAATAATAATCTTCATGCAAGAATAAATATTTTTTTAGTATAATATGTAAAGGTGGGAGATTTTAATTTACGATCTTTTGATCAGAAATAAATACTTAAACCAATTGAGTTATACTCTGGTTGATTTTAGAATGAAACTAACCTAAACATAATTCAATTGGATAAACCATTTATCTCATATCAAACAATTGTGTGTTCCAACCCACCTCACATATTGTTGTACTAAAGAAATGATGGAAACTAAATTTGACATATATTTTTTTAATTCAAGATCATTGCCTTTAGAATGAAAATAAGTACTTGAGCTATGTCAAAGCGAGCATAGCTCAGCGGTAATTGACATATATCTCCAATTAAGAAGTTGTAAGTTGGATCACTCACCCCACATGTTTACTAAAAAAACAACTATAGTTAAAATTATTTGAGCTAAATTTGAAAATTTGAGAGTACATTAATTAAAATAGAATAAGTCTCGAGATATATATTAACTAAAATATTAATTTTGGCACTTATTAAATTTAAGGTTTTAATATCTTACATGTCAATTACCGCTAACTCTGCTCGTGTTGACATTTCTCTTTGTATTTTTAGTTTTGGTTTATACTTTCAAAATGTGTGTTTTTAGTCTATACATTCTTTTAAAAATTACCATTTTGATTCCAGTTTGCAAAATTTTAACACAAATTCACGTAATGAAACTTTTTAATGTAAAGTCATGGCTACATTAAAAAATATATATTTAGTACACGGTGGAGATTCAAAAAACGATATTTTAGTAGGAGATATGTGTTTAGGTTAGCTCCAAAATTTATTGATTAATAATCAACCGTGTTAAAATTATATAAAAAAAATGAAAGGATCAAAACCGGCATATTTTAAAAAGTATACAAAATTAAAAATCACAAATATCAAAATAGACATTTTCAAACATATATGGACCAAAATAATATTTAAACCTAAATTTAAAAAGGAATGAAATTGAAAACAGGCCATGGCCAAAGAAGAAGAACGAGGGCAAAATAAAAGGCAAAATCTCCTCTTCTTCCCTCAACTATTACATCTCCCTCCTTTCTTCTCTCACTCCCATAGACGCCACCTCTCTTCCTTCTTCTCTGCTCTTTTCATCCACATTCAACTCGAATCTGCACCGGACGGATTCGTGACTGTCGGCGGTAAGCATTTCTTCTCACTGCTTTTGCTTTTCATCCCGTAATTAATCGCCATTTCTTTTCCGGAGCTCGATAATTGACTTTCTGGGCTTTTCTTCATGTTTACTTTGGTTTATGGCCATATTTTCGGGATCCATTTTGAGGGTTTTGTTCCTATGGAATCTACTTTTCAATTGGGAATTTCTATTGGAGGGTTTTTATTTGGGCAGTGGTATGTTGAAGCCAATTTGAGTTTTCTGAAATGGGTTGGAAGAATGGGACATGATGAATTACGATTGTAGGAATACGTAGAATCAGTTTGCATCTTGTTTATAGTTGAACGAAACTGATTTCTTTCCTGTTAGATAATGCGTCGATTTTAGATGATTTCGAAGTGTTCTTTTTCTTCTACTTGAGGTTATTTGAAAATTTAGGATTTGGACCTTCTTTTCAAGATGCACTCTTACGGTGATGTTTGAATAAGTTTCCATAAAAATTCTTGAAAATATTGACACTAAGTTGAGTGATTTCGACTCCACTTTACCTTAAGGTTTTGTTTTTTTTTTTTTTTTTTTTTTGGGATTCTGAGTTGTTGTGCTGACATTTCAGAGAGGGGTATAATTTGACCATGCAAAATCTGCATCATTTAATTAGTCGTCTCAGTTCTACTTCTCTTGGAAAAAGCACGAATACTTCGAGACTTCTGAAACAAAATGTGAAATCTAGTTTAATTTCTGATTCGGTAACTACATTGAAGCATGGTCAAGGAGCTTGGTTGACCAATTTGAGAGAATTCTCTGCAAAATCTGGTGGATTTGATGAAGGTGATGCTAAGAATGAATGGGATAAGAGTGTGAGTAAATCGTTTTCTGGCACTACATCAGATGATTTAGGTTGGGATTCTGTTTCCTCCTGGTCTACTGGATTGACCAAAGAGCATTTTGATGGAGAGGCTGTGGGCCGCAGGACTAGTGGAGGTGGGGACTCACCAAAATCGCCTCAGTCTTCATTAGTTTCCGGGTTGCAAGAGATTGAGGACAGAATAAGGGAATTAGAAGCGGAAAACCGGAAAAGCAAGGGCTTTGTGGACGAGTGGGGTGAAAGGATGAGGGAGATTAGCATTCTTTTGAAACAAGTGAGAGAGCCTGGTGCTAGAGGGACTTATCTCAAGGACTCAGAGAAGGCTGAGATGTATCGCTTGCACAAGGAAAACCCTGAGGTGTATACTGTCAAGAAGCTTGCTAAAGATTACAGGATTATGAGGCAAAGGGTTCACGCCATTCTTTGGCTGAAAGAGCTTGAAGAGGAAGAGGAGAAGAAACTGGGCCACCCCTTGGATGATTCCGTTGAGCTTTTACTCGATACTTGCCCAGAGTATGTTACAAACTCATATCTTGTCTTGTATCATGATGCCAATAACTATAAGTAGTCTTATATTCTCTTTATATAAAAATTAAGATGGATTTGCACCATTATATTTCTCTCTTTGCAGAATCAGTTTCAGCCTTTTTGAATAAATTTATAAAACATAAAACATAGCTCATAGGACTCTTTTTTGAATAATATATTATTTTAAGTTTTCTGTTGAAAAAGATTAAACCATGGACAGATATATGATTTGGCTCTAGAACGTCTGTTCTGTTTTAAATGTTTACAGTTTTTTAATCTTCATTTTCATCCACATATAAGATATGTTATTAAGATACATGTTTCTTTTTCGAACTTTCAATTGAGCTTTTGAGATTTTTGGTTGAATAAATTATAAAGGATGTGAGTTTTGTAATCATATAAAACATTTCCCAACTAAATCTAAATACCATATCTTTTAATTGTTACTTTTTATCTTTCTTTCTAGAACCATCTGAGTGATTGAATACATTAGTTCTGGCTTATGTTTTAATTCTCCCTGAGCTAGACACGTGATATTTTAATTACTTTTGTCTCGTAATTATAACTTCTAATCTTTTTCTTCCTTGAATCATTTGAGTGGTTGAATTCAATCGAGCTTTTATATTTTAATTTTCCACGAGCTAGACACTAATAATATTATGCGTCACATAGGGCGAAGTTCAATGTTTTAAAGTTTCTGATTTAGCAGATGGTTTGTTGTCTAAGATCATTTTCGTTGTATTGATGCTCCCAACCTGTGATTGATTTTGAAGGTAAAATATTTTTATGTTGTTATAAGATTTTGAAGTTGCCATGTAAAAGATTTCGAAGTTGACATGTATAAAGTATAAACTCGTTTACCCTATTGACCACTTATCTCCCCTATGGCAAATTTTGCATTGCTGCTTCTTGCAGATTCTTCAAATCCCATGACCGTGAATTCCATGTCGCATCACTTCCTTACAAACCCGATTTCAAGGTCATGCCAGAGGGTTGGGATGGTACAACCAGAGATTTGGATGAAGTGCATTACGAGATCTCCCAAAACGAAGATGATATGTTATACAAAGAATTTGTCGAGAAGATGAATTTCAACAAAAAGAAAGTAAGTTCTGTTGTAGTCCTCCACTATTCAGATACGAAATGGTTTAGTTAGTTATAAGATATAATCTTTTTGAAGCCGATCATGGTGTGATTCTTTCTCACTGTTCGGAGTTGAATGGTTCTGGAATGTGAAACTAGTATCAGTGATGATGATGAATTTGATCAAGGGGAAATAGTGCAAGGGCTTACTTTTTTCCCCATTACCCCCTCCCCTCCCCCATCCCACCACATGAAGTATATGGTATAACGGTAACAAATACCGAATACGAACAAACTCGATGTTTTGTTTTTCCTGTAAAAATCTTTTTCTTTGCAATGCAGATTGCAGGAGAGGTGTTCCGCCACAAGTATAGTAGGCGCCGGCCTTCAGATGGGTGGAAATTCACGGTAGAGAAAATGGGACCTCGAGGGAAACGGGGCGGTGGTGGTGGATGGAAGTTCGTCAGCTTGCCCGATGGTTCCAGCAGGCCATTGAACGAGATGGAGAAGATGTATGTGAGACGAGAGACGCCTCGCCATCGACGTAAAATCCTTCCATGATAAGTTTTGAGATCCCCCGTGTCAGTTCTGTTTTGTGTATTTGATGATATAGATAGCTTGAAAGAAACTGGTAGATCCCCCAGGATGATTTCATAATTTTCTTCTGTGACATCATCTGAAGTAGAATTTTCTCTCTCTCTCTCTCTCTCTCTCTTTTTCATGACTGACCATGTTTTTGGCTCAACTCTTTGCTTTGATGTAGTAGTTTGCCCTGAGTCTGCAAAATAATAGGTTTTAATGGGATCTCATATTTTTCAATCCTATCTGATCTTGTAATCTAGCCCAAGGATGTAAGGTTGGAGAAAGATATTGATAAATATGGTTGAAACATTTTATTTAGGTTAAATTATAAGTTTAGTTTTGGAGTTTAATTTTGTATTCGATTAATCCCAAACTTTATGTGTCTAGTAGGTCTTTGAATTTTTTTTATTTTGTGTCAGCAAATCTTTGAACTTTCAATTTTATGTTTAATAATTCTCTGAATTTTCAATTTTGTATCTAATATCTCCTACCTCAATTCGAGGACGGGACTGAATGGGGAATGTCTATGTCTCTTTGCAAGGGCTCTTGACCTAAATGATATTTTTTCTAAGTCACGAACTTATTAGTCACTAAAGAGGAGGAAGTCAAGAGTCTTATTAAACATAAAATTCATTTTAAAGAAAGATGTCACACTTTTTAAAGTTTAGGATCAATTAGACATAAATTTGAAAATATAAGGTAAAATTTATGATTTCGATTTGATTACTTTATTAGAGGTTCGATCTCTAACAAAATTTTGTTCTAATTAGGAACTTTTTTGGATTGGTAAAACAATACTCTCCATACAGCACTCTTTAAAGTCAGATATTGATTTTTGTTTTTGGGTATGATAAGGGTTTTTGGTTTTGTATTTGAAGTTATGTTTTGATTTTAGGAATGAAGAAATTGCTACAGAAACAGGAAGGAAAATACTTTTTTCATTGTCCTTAGATTGATTTGTGAAAGTTTGAGATTATTTTCGAAACCTTGGAGATGCGTCAACAAGAAATTACTTTTTGGTTAGAAACCAGGACTTCAATGGAAGTAGCGATTTCGTATCGCTCATGAACTTTAGTATGTATTAATTTAGTCCTTGCGGTTTAACTTTGTAAAGATATTTAGTCCTTGTAGTTGAAGTTCGTAAAAATTTAGTCTCTATCGTGAAAATTTTTGTTAAGTTTCTTATATATAGGTCGATAAATCAATGAGGGATCAAACATGTTTATAAATTATAAAGACTAAATCATTGTAATGATTTTTTACTGTAGGGATTCAATTGTTACAAATTTTAAACTATATGGAAAAGAAATTATTACATACTAAAGTTTATGAATTGTTATTAAATTGAAAGTACGTGGACTGGATTGTTATAATCTGTTACTTTAGTAAAATTACAAGAACGATGTGTATTTTTTAACCCAACGTTCAGTTTAAGTACAAACCAATAAAATGTTTGAAGAGTAAAAAAAAAGGTTCATCTAACATATTTGATATTGCATGTCTTCACTATAGACAAATAGTACATTAGTAGTGGATGTCAAAATTTTTTTAAAAATATGATATGTGTAAATTATTTTCCTATGGGACAGATTTTTAAATATGACAACCAATAAATATATATATATAGACACACACATATGTAATTATTTTTCTATGTTATTAGATTTTAAAAAATGGCAACCAAAATAAATTAATATATATAATCCTTACCAAAAAAAAAAAAGCTACCTAGTATCATGATTATTTTAATCATTACAACAAACTACATGATATCATGATTTTTTTTTTGGGGGGTTAAAAGCATTATATCACAAATATTTTGGTGAGCAAAAGACCAAGGTTTGAATCTCCTCTTTCGCAACAAATTTTGAAGAAGATAAATCTGAAAGGATGAACTTGATTTATTTTGTATTTATGTATAAGGATTACAGTCTTTAATGTATAATCTTTATATACTTTCTCCCGAATGTAAATTTCAATTTTGAGTGATGGTGAGTTCTCGAATCAAAAAAGTAGATGCCTTTGACTTCTAGCTTGTTGAATAATTTTTTGAAGTCTTTGACTTTAAGTTTGTTGAAAATCTTTGAGGTCTTCAGCTTATTTCTCGACAAATTTTTCAACTTATAATTTGATGAAGTCTTTCAGCTTATAGCTCATTGAATTCTTAGAGTGGTAGTTTGTGAAGTCTTCAACTTGTAATTTGACGAAAACTTCAACTTGTTGCTTGTTGAAGTCTTAAACTTGTGGCCCGATAAAGTGTACGATTTGTAGCTTTGCTTGATGAAGTTTTTCGACGACTTCAACTATTAGAGTTTTCTTTGAATTATGAATCTTTTGACTCCTTCACCCTAAATGACTAAATGACTTTTCAATGATTATGGATCCTTGGGTAGCCTCTCTGATATTTATAAAGTTTTTTTTTTTCGTTCGAACTTGGTTGACTTTGAGCCTAATTGATACTTTACACAATCAGATTGGACTCCTTCATCATACGACGACAGACAAGTGACATTATTTTATTTGTCAATTTCATGTCTATTACTTTACTTGTAAGACACGTGTTAATTTGTAATTGGTCTAAAATTTAACAATATATAATTTTGTGTGACAACTTTTGATTAGTCAAAATTCATCATTCAGCTCTCCCAACTCAAAAAATAAAAATAAATCACAAATTAAAATAGATATTTAAACCTAAATCATTTAATTTTGTATAGGTTGCCATGTTATTATTATTATTAAAAGAGAGAGAAAAAAAAAAGAAGAAGTCTTTTAGAATTAGAATGGACGTTTTTCTAGTAAAACATATATAGGTAAGCATTCGATCGAGAGATATAATTTAAGCTATGTTCGGGTTGGCTAAAATGGATCTCCGAATGGGTTTATTATAATATATTATAGTCTATAGTGTGTGTATATATATTTGTGAAATTGAAACTGCATTTGTGGCGAATTACCCAATGGGGAGGGAGACTGAAGCAGAGGCAGGGCGATACTCCATGGAAGCTCTGGCAAAGCTCGAACATCTCCAGAACCAAATCCTCCATCGAATTTCAAAGCTCGAGCTCGCCTGCCTTCCAAATCTCGATTCGGCACCTTCCCCTGCCCCCTCCCAAGG